TTCGTTAATGTACAGTTGAGTTGTTGTGCAGGTGACCTCGTGTCGTGCCCGCTCAGGCGACAAGGACGTGTCGTTTCCTCAACAAGCGAGGCAACGGTACCCAAAAGTCGGACCACATTCGGGATCATGAGTCGAGTCCCAGTCCTGGCGTTCGGAGCTGCTTCCTGCATTTGACGCCGACCCTAGCAAAGGGTCCACACTGAGAAAAAAGTTACAAACTATTTTAGGCCTTTACAAAGAAAAGCAACAAAGTATTTTGAGCACACAGAAGCTTACAAAGAAAATACTGCGTTATTTACGAATTATTTCTCTGTATAACAAAGTAAATTAGTTAGTATTATGTATGCTCAAAACCTTTGTAAGGTGTTAAGTGTGCAGCTTTGGCAGTAACTCTGTTGATTGCACAGTTGCCTTCCTAATTCAACGCCCCCTCTCTCTCACCGTGCCCGATAACTCTCCACACCTCGCTCATCTTATTTCAAACCGGCTCCGCCCGCGCCGCTACTTGAACGGCCCGGCCGGTGGCTGACTAGCGCCACCCTCGGCAGACTCCCAAACTTGGAGGATTAAATCGAGACACGGGGATCAGATTTCGCGCCGCGTTGAGCTGCGGCTCAGCCGGGTTTGGCTCATCGTGTGAGATGAAACGTTGTGATAACACGCCGCCGTTCCAAACACGGGAAGCGTCTCGGGCCAGGGACGTTCAAATATCCTCAGCGGACGAGCACTTCCTGGAATAGTCCCCCAGGAAATGGAGCCTTTTTGCAGCTAAGAACGAACAGCCAATCCCAACATTTTCAGGTGTCACTCTTCTTAGTTTTGCTCATTGGGGACGCCGCACACAGCACCAGCAGACCGGTGGAGGCAGCCAAAACTCTAGACGCGTTTTGGGTTCCAGAGTAGCAAAACAGGACTCAAAACCGAACGTATGACCCCACCAATGGATTGTTCTCCGTACGAGGAATCTATTGCTGGGATCACACGCCCCGTCGGAGCCCTGCTTAGCGACTCTGCAACTTATACCACGTCTTGACCCGCGCGGGAGAATCTGCATTCTGAATAATTGCACCCAGGAACTGACGTTGCAGTGAATAGGGGAGAAAGTGTGACTAAATTGATCTTAAAGTGTTATAAATTTTAAGTTTGAAGTATGCATTGGCCACAAATTAAATGCAGATAATACGAGCTCAACTCGAGTTTTGTCGGCCCACTGTGCGGCGTTAGAAGCAGGGCGTCTGTTTCTCGCGTTTTTGGGTTTCAGTCGAAATGACCTTGGGTTGCGTGCTGCGGGGGATAAATTTGGATGAATTACTGCGCTGCTGGCGGAGTGCAACCAATGGCGTGGCGGCACGCGACGGGAAGCTGAGCACCTGGACGAGGCAAGAACAAAAATGTACATGGCCGGGCGCGGGGAAACAAACGTCTCGGAGAGAGTGGCTGCGGCATACCTAGAGAAAGTACCAGTACTTTACGGTGTGAAAATTCGGGATAAACAAAATACGGGCGGAATCTTGAGACCATATACTCCACGAGCTGAGAATAATGTTCACTCTTAAAAGCCAACGAAGCAATTGCTTCATAACTGTACAAAGAAAATGAAGGCATTGTAGAATTGCTTTGTATTAATGAAGATATGCTTCGTATTACGAAGAATTTTGCTTCATAATAAGAAGCATTTCTTCGCACACTGTAAATGTCTCACGGTGAAAGGCTGCACCAACATATTATGGTGGAGATTTTCTCCATAATTCCAACGAAATTCGTCAAAATATCTATAAGGTACAGTGAATTCCCAATGGTATGTTACAAAGTCAGCTGCACCACCATAATATGGAACATTTTCACCATAATATGGAGAATCTTCACTGTACAACATTTAGAGTGTAGAGTTTTAACTGGGTACCCACTAGCACCATTAGGCTACAGTATCCTTCGTCGGCAAAAACAAACACATTTCTGCAAAGAATCAAAAGTAACATTGGTGGCTTCAAATTTTCTTTACAAGTCTGATGTGCGTCAAGCCGGGAAACGGGCCGTTTGGGTGGAGGCAGCCGAAGACGGCGACCAGCAGACGCAATGACTCCACACAGCGTTTCGTCACTCTCCCTCGCGCGCAGTGAGTGGGACGGAGACAGGGCGACGACGCCGTCGTTCTCATACAGCCCAGCAGAAGAGCGGTTTGTCGCTCTGTCTCTCTCGCACCCTTACGGAGAGCCCCATGAGTGCGAGAGAGACAGAGCGACGAAACGACTCTTCTGAATCGCTCGGCTGCCGGTGCACCTGTTTGCCGAGCCACACCTGGCCAAACCTCGAGGGAGCGCGGCGGCGGGCAGGGGGAGAAAAAGAAGGAAGTGGGCGGAGTCCAGTCCAGGCGCGAAGCTCACTGGAATAGTGATCACAGGTAAACAATTGGACAGTTCTGACTCTTTTCGCTCGCGAAGTGCCCCAAGACTTGGACAGCTAGCTATCTGCACCGCAAACTAGGGATGTGCTAATAGTTCGGTACTGACTCGAATCAGGCGAGATTCGATTCGAAGTCGGATTTCCACAGTTCGTTCTCTAATATTCGAAATTCCGAATCAATGATGGTTCGTCTTCGCACTTAGGTGCACACACTGAGAAAACCTTAACCTTACAAACGATTTTGGGCCTCACAAAGAAAAGCAGGTTGTTATAACAAAGTATTTTGAGCATACATAAGCTCTCAAAAATACTTCGTAATTTACGAGCAATTTCTTCGTATAACAAAGTAAATTTGTTTGTATTATGTATGCTCAAAATACTTCGTAATGTTATAAGCGTGCAAATTAGAGAAAAAGTAATAAAACGACAGTCGGTATCGAATCGTTTACCTTGATTCGAATGCAATTCTGCAACTTTTTCCTGATTCGATTCGAAACGAAAATCCCTGCACACCCCTCCTAGAGAGCAGCCTCCAGGAACGGTGCCCGTGTCGCAGCGAGACACACTCGCCAAGGAGAGATAAGGAAACTGTGTGCTGGCGGGACACACATAAGCCCCCTTTGTTGACGGCCAATCGAAGATCAATATTGACTTACTCGAGTTGGTACGGTGGCAAGGCATGCTCATGGCTATACCGTGACTCGTAGCGCGCGCTTCATTTCACAGCTTCACAGAAATCACAACAGTTTCTCCAGACGAAGGCTATCGGTGAAACTCACCACAGCAAACGCATCATGAAAACATGTTACAGAATCAAGAGTTGTTATTGGGGCAAATGATAGATCAATCACTATTTCTGCACCCTTGAAATCTTGCGAAGTATTGAGATATGAAAGGTCCACACTAGTTATATCGTTTGGCGAAAAGGTAGAACATAAACTACGACATAGTTTCTTTGCAAGCTAAAATTTGAACTGCGAATCCTAGTGTGGCACTGACGTTCACTTAAATGAAGTGAAACAAACTGCGTTACGCTTGTAACTGCGTTACGCTTGTAAGCGTGCGAAAAATCCGTTTGGAACGGTGGCAAGTGTAAACCGTGCTTTTCCGATTGCAGGCGTGAGACAAAACGGACCCTAAACTTGCAAACGTGCGACAAATTGTCCAAAATTATATGAAGTACGCCTGTCTCACACTGATTTTATAAGTGTAATAATGAACTAATTTAAAAGGCAACAGCACATTTATTGCATTTGTAGCGCCATGAAAAGTTATTGAAATATAAGTGCAATAATTATTCTATTGCATTAGCGCATTTATCGCTTTATTAGCGTAGTGATAATTTTAACATACCAAAACTGATAATCTGGGCCTACACTCTACCAAAAATGTCCTGTAAATGCCGTTAATTTATTACCAGTTTTCACTGTAGGTCAATTCACAGCGTTTGCTGTGAACTAGTTCACGGCGTTCACTGTGATCTCGGTTACAGTGTTCACTGTGATCTGGTCCCCAGTAAACACTGTGAGTTTGACGCCGCTGAGCACCGAAGTACTGCAAATCAGGCTCCAATTCACGGCGTTTACTGTGGCCAGATCACAGTGAACACTGTAACCGAGATCACAGTAAACGCCGTGAACTAGTTCACAGCAAACGCCGTGAATTGCATAACAGCAAACATTGGTAATAAATTAACGGCGTTGACAGGACATTTTTTGTAGAGTGTAGACCGGCCAAAACCTAAGAGACTTATTGCATTTTTAATGCGATAATTTTTTTATTACTGCCACAGATGTGATAATTTAAAGGAATCACATTAGCCTTTTTATCCCAGCAAATTGTATGAAACTTATCGCATTAGAAATACCAGTGCACAGTAGCACTTTTTCAGTGTGCTCAAAATACTTCTTGTGACTACTTCAAACTGCTTGATGTAACAAAGCTTTGGGAGTGTTGTTAGGGAGGTCCCACTCTAGCCCGCGTCCCGAGCAGCGTCAGCTCCCGGTAACAGTGCGGCTCTGATTTTAGGAGCTGGATGCCCGTTTTCCATTGCCTCCGGCACAACATTTTCCCTGCGTCTTTTCGCTCGTTCACACACGCAGCGCGTGGAGCGCAGCGTTGGCAAAACGCACCATGAGATTCTTCTTGTCCTCCAGACACCACCACGCCATTTGCCTCCTCCTTCACGGCTTTTCGCCTTCCCCTGTCCCTCGCCGATATAATCCCACAGAGCGATTCCTTGACATGGTTGCCACAGACGCGGGGAGGGGGAGAGACGAATAAAAATAAGGGTTGGGGACCGAAGGGGCGGCAGGGAGAGAAATGGTGCAAATCCAACTAGGCGGCCACCCTTCGGCTTCCTTTGGCTCGGCTGCCTGGACGGCCCCAGCGCCACCCTCACGCTGTTGAGCGATACCGAAGCGCCGTGCCATCGATCTGTCTCTCTCGCACCCCTACGGGAAGCCAAATTGGTGTAAGAGAGACAGACCGACGCTGCAGAACGGCGGCGAGGATTAAGGCTGTATTCGACTACGTCAGTCGAAGAGGTGTCATTCGTTGAATTTTGGAGCGCAGTGACTGAAGGTGCGACACACGAGGACAAAAAATATAAGGTGGATTTATTTCTGCAATTTCGTTACCAACAAAACAGTTACTTTCTGGTTTACAGCAGCATTGTAACACAAAATACTACAAACGAGAATACGGATCATTCAACAAAACTTAACAACGAAAAACTTCAAATAATCTACTGTACTAACACGTGCGGTGCACGGCAGCTTAAAATAGTGAACAAAATGATAGTTCGCACATATTAATGGTTCTATAACAAAACTTCCTTCGACAGCATATGCATTCAGAACATGTTTCCCCCTGTATGGGTTCTGACATGTTCTCTGAGGCTGCCTTCTTGTAACTCTTGTTACAAACTGCACGCGAAAGGCTTCTACCCTGTATGGGTTCTGAGATGAGTTCTGAGATTGTCCGTTCTACTGAACTTCTTGTTGCAAACTGCGCACTCGAAAGACTTCTCCCCTGTATGGGTTCTGAGATGAGTTCTGAGATTGCCCGTTCTACTGAACTTCTTATTGCAAACTGTGCACTCGTAAGGCTGCTCCCCTGTATGGGTTCTGAGATGAGTTCTGAGATTGTCCGTTCTACTGAACTTCTTGTTGCAAACTGCGCACTCGAAAGACTTCTCCCCTGTATGGGTTCTGAGATGTATTTTGACCTTGCTTGCATGACTAAACTTCTTGTTGCAAACTGTGCACTCGAAAGGCTTCTCCCCTGTATGAGTTCTGAGATGTATTTTGACATCGCTTGCTTGATTAAACTTCTTGTTGCAAACTGCGCACTCGAAAGGCTTCTCCCCTGTATGAGTTCTGAGATGTATTTTGACATCGCTTGCTTGTTTAAACTTCTTGTTGCAAACAGCACACTCGAAAGGCTTCTCCCCTGTATGGGTTCTGAGATGTTTCCTGAGATCGCTTGCTTCATTAAACTTCTTGTTGCAAACTGTGCATTCAAAAGGCTTCTCCCCTGTGTGGGTTCTGAGATGACTTTTGACAGTGCTTGCATGCTTAAACTTCTTGTTGCAAACTGGGCACTCGAAAGACTTCTCCCCTGTATGGGTTCTGAGATGTATTTTGACCTTGCTTGCATGATTAAACTTCTTGTTGCAAACTGTGCACTCGAAAGGCTTCTCCCCTGTATGAGTTCTGAGATGTATTTTGACATCGCTTGCTTGATTAAACTTCTTGTTGCAAACTGCGCACTCGAAAGGCTTCTCCCCTGTATGAGTTCTGAGATGTATTTTGACATCGCTTGCTTGATTAAACTTCTTGTTGCAAACTGCGCACTCGAAAGGCTTCTCCCCTGTATGAGTTCTGAGATGTATTTTGACATCGCTTGCTTGTTTAAACTTCTTGTTGCAAACAGCACACTCGAAAGGCTTCTCCCCTGTATGGGTTCTGAGATGTTTCCTGAGATCGCTTGCTTCATTAAACTTCTTGTTGCAAACTGTGCATTCAAAAGGCTTCTCCCCTGTGTGGGTTCTGAGATGACTTTTGACAGTGCTTGCATGCTTAAACTTCTTGTTGCAAACTGGGCACTCGAAAGACTTCTCCCCTGTATGGGTTCTGAGATGTATTTTGACCTTGCTTGCATGATTAAACTTCTTGTTGCAAACTGCGCACTCGAAAGGCTTCTCCCCTGTATGAGTTCTGAGATGTATTTTGACATCGCTTGCTTGATTAAACTTCTTGTTGCAAACTGTGCACTCGAAAGGCTTCTCCCCTGTATGCCTCCTGAGATGAGTCGGTAGATTGCGTCGATGGCTTATCTTCTTTTTGCAAACTGGACATTCACAAGACTCTTTTTTTGTGCGTGTTCTGAGGCTATTGGCGTCGCAAAGTGGACCGTTTCGAACAGGGCACTGGGAAAATTTCTTCCGCGTGATCATTGTGCAATCTGCAACACACAAGTGCTTTCAACATAAACAATGGTACGTTCCAATATTTTAAAATTCTTATGAGAGTTGGGTCCCCAACCGGCGAAAATCGGTGTACACGGGTGAAAAAGTCATCAAAAAAGTCACTAAAAGTCAAAAAAGTCAAAAAGTCACAAAAGTCAAAAAGTAACAGAAAAACCAATATAAAGTATCCAAAAAGTCACGAAACAGCCTTTAAATATGCCAAATTTCATTGAACGCTGGTGGAAAAGTAACTTTTTAAGTCAAAAAAGTCATTTAAAGGTCAAAAAGTCATTTAAAAGTCAAAAAGTCATTAAAACGTGTGAAAGTGAAAATAGTTCCAAGGCAAAACAGTCGCAAAAAGTCAGAAAAGATACTCAAAAAAGTCACAAAAAAGTCAAAAAACAATCAAAAAGTCACAAAAAAGTCAAAAAAGTCAGTTTTGACTTTAAGTCAGTGTACGCTCGCCGGCTCGGTTGGGGACCCCTTGTAATGAGTGTTTTAGAAGTGAAATCTGCGTTGCTGAAGGATTCAACGTAACCATTCACAACTCTTAAAAGAACTACATAACTCACCTCTTTGTGGTGCTGTGATAGACGTCAAGGGGAAAGGCGCTCGAACTGATTGGATTTCAGAAGATTCTCAGTTCTGAAACAAACATAGGGAAGCGGACCGTCAGAGATTGTCCGAAACAACATACATCACAAATTTATGATATTTTATTCTTGATCCTACATGCCGATCCTGTTATGGCAGGAGGAAAAAGAAAACAGAATGTAGCACCTCATTGAAAAAACAAACGTGGTCTATACCGCGTTACTGGTGTGGTCAAATGGGTGCCATTTTGACCGCATCAGTTGGTGCGATCTAAAACACGTTTGGCCACATTTGGTGTAGTCAAAATTGCGCTTATTTGACCACACCAGTTAGTGCGGTCGGGACTACGTTTGGTTTTTCAGTGCTTGACTTAGAATTGCCGAGGTCAAAACATACATTCCTTGGACATTAATTCTTAAATACTATATCAGCCTTTCAAGAGCCTCAACGCCACTAAATTTGGAATTCCGGTTTCCAATTTCATTTCCATGACTTCTCTCTAACAAAAATCGAGCTTCTTGCGTTTTCCTCTAGGAAAGGCACATGGGAGATTCTACAGGTAAAAACATACGATTTCACAGCTCAGTAGTCACGAAGTTAATTTCATTTACGTTCTCGTTAAACAAAAAGCCTGAGCCTAGAACTGCGCTGAGCGAAGTCCATTTTAGATTGGTACCGTGACATACTATCTATGAAACTAAAACTTACGATAAGGACCAGCTGCGTGTACTTTTTTTCTAAAACACACATTAACGACAGTCTTAAAAAACACACAGTCCTTAAAATGTTCATAAAAGCAGTAAATTTCAGCCGGGCTCAAAATATTTGAGGTTAGAAAAGTGTACAGCCGCCGTGCCCAGATCGTTTCGTCTTCGATTCTAAAGTACCATCGAACCTCTAGCAGCTTTTCCCCGCAAAAGACTTAACATGTTAGGGCTCATGACACGTTATTATCGCGTATCACATTCGGTAAGAATTGAGTTCTTAACTGTCAGAACTTGTCCGAGAAAGAGCTGCCTCACTTTCACCTCGTGCACCGGAATGATCCACAACTGACTCTTTACGGAAAACGAGCGTTGCGGCTCAGTTTCACTCGTGTCTGCGCCAGGTCCGGTCGAGATCGAACGGGGTCGGTAGGAATCTTACATGAATGACCCCCCGCGTGGATTACAGCGGTTTATGGTGAGTAGATGCGCCAGTTTTACTGCGGGCCGTCCCAACCGGCTGCGGGTGTGTGCGGCAAAAAGGGTCCAGGGGTGCGGGGCGGCGGATACAGCCGCAAGGCTAGGGAGGCGTGGGAAGGAGTGTCCGAGCGTCGAGGCGTGAAGGGGGAGGGGAAGGGGAGGGAGGAGAGGGAAGGCCAGGGGGTAAGGGCCGCCCTTCCGGTAGAGCAGCCCGAACTCGCCACACAGTCGTGCCGCACCCGACTCACTTCAAGAGGCCCTACACTCGACGTGCCTCCCTTCTCCCTCGTTCTCCCTCCCTCTTTATTTCGTCCCTCTCTTTCCCCTCATCAACTGCGAATAAGAATAGGGCCTGATCATGCTTTTCCGGGGCACCAACGGGCGCTTCTAATTGGTGCAATGTTTGACACCGTGATCAGGATGATTGGCAGGTCAGAGAGAGGCAGCGGCACTGAGATCGTCCGAAAATGAGCAAGCACCGATCGACTGAGAGACCTCACTGAGAAAATTTGAGTCGTCACTTGATGCCAATTTCAAGGCTGATTTTCCTTACAACAATGTCATCAAAACAATTGATGAAATTGTTGTCACGCCCATGCAATTAGTATAGGAGCTTTGATGAATATGTCATCAACTTGTGATGAGATTGTCACAGTGAAGTTGGTGGCCGTGATGTTCAGGCGGAAGTATGAAAATTAAAGGTAACAGCGGGTGTGGCGCCGGTGAGGCAGGTGAAGTAAAAAGGAAGGGTGGGGCTGGTGAATAGGGGGCCTGGTGAGTCGTATGGCTGGTCACTGGTACAGCGGGTGGTGAGTGCGCTAGTGAGTCGTGTACCAGGTGGGTCACGGACCCCGTGTGAAATGGTTACTATGCAACCCGCTCGGAGCCCTGCATCCGGGCTTGCCTATGCGGCAGTCGGCGGGCGAACGGGAGGACTAGGGGTGCCACCCGTCTTGCCCAGCCCAGTTGTCGTTCCGCGGACACCTCGCGGCCTCCGCGAGGGCATCCGCCGCGGGTCTCGCGAGTCTCTCGCGGTTCGTAAGTCCTTTCACGGGTTTCGCGAGGGCAGGCCGCGAGGACACGGAACGCCCGCGAGGACTCGCGAAGCCCGCGGCAGGACTCGCGGAATCCGCGGACTGCCCTCGCGGAGGCCGCGAGGTGTTCGCGGAACGACACTGGGGCTGTCAAGACGGTGGCACCCCTAGTCCTCCCGTCCGCCCGCCGACTGCCGCATAGGCAAGCCCGGATGCAGGGCTCCGAGCGGGTTGCATAGTAACCATTTCACACGGGGTCCGTGACCCACCTGGTACCTAGTGACTAGTACGACTGGTGAGTCGGAGGACTGGTCATTCGTAGGGTTGGTGAATAGTGGGACTAGTGAGTCGTAGGGCAGGGGCGCAGTGGGTCCGGTGAATAATAGGGTTGGACAGTCGTAGAGCTCGTGAGTCGTGGAGTTGGTGAGTGGTAGGGTTGGTGAGTCGTAGGAATGGTGAGTGGTAGGGCTGGTGAATGGTGGGACTATTGAGTTGTAGGGCATGGGGACGGTGGGTCCGGTGAAAAATATGGATGGTGAGTCGTGGTGCTGGTGAGTCGTATGGCTGGTGGGTCGCTGTGCTGGTGGTGGCTGGTGAAGTGGTGCGAAGTGGGGCAGGTGAAATGGGACGGTCCGCACTAACGAGCGCCACCAATGTAATTAGGCCCTCTTGACATGCCGTGGCGCTGGGCTGCTGGGCGAAGCGGCGAAGCCATGGCGGCGTGCCCGCCCCGCCCCTTCATCTGCCTCTTGCTACCCCTCCCCCCCACCCCCACCCCTTCCCCTCCAGTCCCCAGGGGAAGGTGACGGTAAGAAGACCTCGCCGGAGCGGCGCCGTCATAATCCTTTTGCCACTAATTTAACGGAGCCCCGACTTACGACGGGGCCTGCCAACCGAGCGATTCCGGGTAGTCGTTTCAGCGCTCGCTCGCTCTCTCTCTCTCTCTCTCTCTCGCACTCCCCAGGCACGCCTTCACGTGCGACAGAGACAGAGCGACCTGGCGACTCTGCGGAAACAGGCTGCAGGCCGGCGCGGCGGTGTCACACGCCGAATATTCCTCCACGCCGCGTATTTGGTTGCGCGACGATGGCGTATGTCGTGGCGACGTGAAACCGAAGGGGAGATCACGGAAATGTACAACGGAACGGCGAAAGAAATTGCACAGCTGCACGGAAAAAGAGACTCGTTGAGGTAATGAAATCTGATCGACAGCTGCAATCGAAAATCCGATTTCGACGACCAACAGCTGGTAGACAATACTGGCCACGTCTTAACATTCATTCCAGGAACGTGACATCTGGTTGAAACGAATGTGACAAAATGTCACATTCCTTTAAACATTATGTCACATTCATTAGCATGTCAATCAGCCATAAATCCGAGGGGGCCACCACTCTCATTTCAGGCGTACACAAGATTACGGGATTACGGGAAATTAAGCAGGGATTACGCGTGAAATTTTGAACAATTGGTTCAAAAACGTTGAAAAATGGCTCAAAAGAGTTGAAAAATGACTCAAAAACGTTGAAAAATGACAGAATTTTGTCAAGGATTACGTGATTACGGCATGGATTACCGTAGATTACCAGCCAATTTGTACACAGGATTACGTAGGTGGTGGCCCCCTCGCATAAATCAGCTTGTTCCCATTCAAACGAATGAGACACAATGCTCAAAGGAGCGTGACATTTTGACACATTCGTTTCAACGACATGTCACGTTCCTGGAATGAGTGTTGAACAACGACAAACCCCAGTTAACTCGTCGCACGAGATGAGTTCAGAAGTGTCTTAGCAGCTTTTGATTCTAGGTAGGTACCGGTGATTCTTGGTGCACCAGCTGTCGAATTCAGCGTGCCGAGTGAGGTTGATAGCAGGGGGAAATAAATCGTGCCAAATTTGTACACCAAAATTCATCAAACATGTAAAATTCACGAAAATTCAATGAAATTCGAATAAAATTCATCGAAATTCAACCGAATTTCATCGGAAATCTGCTGAACTACATCGAAATTCGACTGAAATTCATTGGAAGTGTACACGGAAATTCACAATGGTTTCCCCTTGGTTGATAGCCAGACGAGCAGAGCCCTCTTTTCCGTGTGGGTTTGGAAAAGCGTGCAGCCGTATTCCAGGGCGCGGCGTGTTGACAATCCGAGTGGAAAATGAGGGCCGTGGGTACCATTGTGTCTTTGCGTTGGGGTTGCGCGAGGCAGACGGACGGACAGACAATGGAGCAGGCGCACGCACGCGCAGGCATGTTTGTCGCCGGGAGGAAAGCGGAGTGAAAAAAGGGACTAGCGCGCGATATTTCCCTCCTATTTCTCCCTTTTTTCCCTCCCGCCGTGGCAAAGGAAGGCCGACGGGCGCAGCGCGTGCGGAACCTGTGCCCAGCTTGGGCGGAAGGATGTATAGGTGGCAATGCTCAGTGGGCCTGGAGACCGACGCCGGCGGCCGAAACACTAGACGCGCTATCAGCTCCAGAGTCGGTGAGAAAGACTCGAACCGAGCGTGTGGCCCCACCAATGGACTCCTAATTCAGAGAGGAGTCCATAGGTGGGGTCATACGTACTGCTTGAGTCCCATTTAGCGACTCTGGAGCTCAAGTCACATCCGAGATTTTGACCACTTCCACCGGTCTTCTGGCCCACTGTGCACCGTGGCAAACGGAGGTCGCGGCACACAGCGCGTGCGGAATCTGTTTCCCTTCGCAGCTTGGGCGGAAGGATGTATAGATGGCAATGGGTGGAGACAGAGAGTCGGCCACAGGGAAGGGGGATTTTTGCATGGCTCCAGTAAACCTTGGCATGGTCGCTTGCATAAAGTGCTTGAAT